TTGATCAGAGAATTCCTCTGGGAAGCTGGTCATTGCTTCTTTCACAGTTTTGAATCCAGACAGCACTACTAGAAGGTGAGGTCCAGCCCACAAAGAGTATATTTCCATATTGATTTACATGCTGCCTAGTGAATCAAGGTTGAGAAATGTTACAATCAAATAAAACAGGGTACTTACAGCTAATATACCAAAGCCCAGAAGTTCCCAATGAGAGGTAGCCACAGGACCAGGAGGTAAATGTCTTTGGGTCCAAAGTTGTTTCAGAAAGAACAGAATCAGCAGAGCAAGCAGCAAAACAAACAAAAATGTCCACATCATTCATCACTGTGCTGTTAGTTCCTTATTTTTGAGACTTTCTGGTCGATCTGGAGGTGGATATATCCTTTTATCTGATGCTTTTTGCTTTTGTTCCTGTTTTGTATACTCCATTGATAGGAAACGAATAACAACATGTCTTTTAATGTTCATCTGTGTGATTAGTGCTGGTACTTTGTCAACAAGATATTATTCGCAGTGGCACAGTGGTGGCGGTGCGTTGGCTGACTGCCGGCTGCCAGCAGTTTGAGTCTTACCAGCTCAAGGTTGACTCAACATTCCATCCTTCTGAGGTCAGTAAAATGAGGATCCAGAGTGTTGGGGGCAATATGTTGACTCTGTAAACTACTTAGAGAAGGCTGCAAAGCACTGTGAAGCAGTATATAAGCCTATTGCTATCACCTTAATTTGGGTTAATGAAGTTACCTCTGACCAAGTGCCACACAAATAATGGAATAGATTTTTTTTATAAAAAAGATAGCGAGGGCTCTGTGTCCCAAATGTGCTTTTTCCAAAATAAACCCCAGGTGGCCTCCACAACTGTCAGAGAACTAACAAATAACCCACAGAGTGCTAACAACCAGATGACTGCAAAGAATATAAATCCTTCCATTCCCCACCAGTCAATTAGAACTGAAGAAGCTTCTTGGATGAGAAGTGAAATGTTTTCAAAGAAAAAAAGAAGTTCAGATGCCTTTTGGAAAAAAGCACCTTGTGACAATCATGACCTGATTGGTTGAGAATCTCCATAGAGCTTTAGTCATGCCTTTGGGATGAACAACCTTTGAATGGTGCAGAGGTGCGAATGGATTTCCAGAAAACTTGCAGACTGCAGGAACCATTTGAGGCCTAAACTCCAGATGCAGACAGCCCAGACTCATTCCCAAAAGTCTGTATCCTGTGTTCAACAGTGAAAGGACCCAGGGCAAAAAACATCCTGCAGAAAGCACAGCTCCACTTTTTTTAAAACAAACAAACAAACAAACAAACAAATTTTATTGGCTTTCAAATTTTACATTGAGTATTCGGAAACCAACGTGGTGACTGGGTAATCAATGGTTCAATAACAAGATCTTTAGTACCTATTTCAGGTTACATCATCAGAAATTCCTTCTCTATTTCCCTTAACATTTGTTATATCACATTTAGGCTAATAGATTTTTAATTATTACAAAGTTAATTAAAACCTTTATCAATATGTTTTTTGCTAATACATATCCATATCCTATTTTTCAGTTTTACCTAATTTTTAATTTTTGATTACAATATACCAATTTAACCTTTAATATCCGTAGTGTTTAAATTTTGGGTAATCCAAATTTCCTTTATTTCACTACATAAAAGTTATCATATCTAGAATATACATATTACTTGCTTAAATATATTCTTATCTTATTTCATAAACATTTTCTATTTCTTATCCTAATACTGGTAGAGTGTCCTTTATTGTCTCAAGTCTATCATCTACATTATTTGGGCTAAACAATAGTTCGAACCTAATTCCTAATCATTAATTTTCATTTCCCGTATAAGTGTAAATCCTAAGTATTAAGGCAGTTAGTCCCTTATTTTTTTATCATTTAACAAAAATATTTAAATACACTAATCATAATTCCCTTCATCTAAAAATCTCCTTTTAGCCCATTAGTTGAGACTTTAGGATCCTCTATCATAGATCAGAAAATCCCATTTAAAAAAAAATCTAACTGAGGCTTTCTTTTTGTGCCAGCCAGGCTTCCATACCAATATCTTTAAATCATCAGATAGCACAGCTCCACTTCTCAACAAAACAGTAAGGTGGATTAATTTTACAATTGAGGTTTTGAAAGAGAGAGTGGAACACAAACTCCAAGAGCTGAAATTGCTTCTTCCAACAGAAGTATTGGAGGAGATCACAAAATTTACGAAGAAGGCACAAGTAGCATAACACAATAAGACTTCAATGGATGTTTTCAGTTATTTTATTTCTGTGTCTTTCCTAATTACTTTCACACTTTTGTCTCTTCAGACAAAAGAGGTATTATAGTCTCCAGTTTAATTATTTTCACGGAGGGTGACACTTCCAGATGAATATTACTAACGTCATCAATGACTCTTCTTTTGATTTCTTATTTTTGCTCTCAATCACTCATGCCCTTATGACCTCTTATCGGTGTCATGGTTCTGACAGATGAAACTCTTCAAAAGAACTTCAAGACTTTGTTTACCTTAAAGGATCTTTTATTTGAGTAGCATAACATCAGGTATGTAAGAAACATTTATACTGAAAAGCTACTCTATATTTACTTTTACCTTTTTTATGTTGTTTAAGTTTAATCCTGTGTGGGAATAGCACATAGTTTATAAGGATGTGGATGCAATGTCACTTTTACAACAGGGACTTCATTGAGTTCTTTCACTCCTGCAGGCAACCGGAAGCTGAAGGCCCTCAACAGGTTGGTCAGAAAGATGAAGATCTCAATTCTTGCCAGATGCTCTCCCACACAGGAACGTTGACCTGTAGATAAGACAAGGCATGCATGAAGTGGATAATAATGATTGTCCTTTAGGCAGTTCCAAGAAGGGTCCACACCCATTTGCACTACTTGGGTGACCTTGATGACACAGATAAACCTCCAGGTGGCCTCAATGACTCTCTAAAAGAATGCAAATGACCAGTTGTCTGCAAGGAGTATAAATCCTTCCATTCCCCACCTTCCTGTCAGAGCTGAAGGAACTTGGATGAGAAGTGAAACATCTTCAAAGAAAAAAACAGTCCAGTTGCCTCAAGAAAAAGCACCTTTGGAATAAAGCTATTTTCTCTCTTTTACTTTTGTTTGTTGACACCCATCAGAGAGATGCCTTTAATTCAGATTGTACTAAATGGTACACCATTTCAAAGGAAAAGTTATACACCCATGAAAAAATGATCTGACATGTTTTCCAGAGATGGGCCTACAAGAGGGAAGTCACTTTTTCACCTCTCTGTCGACTACTTTCAATCAATCAGTCAATGAATCAATGTCAATCAATCAGAATAAAGCTGGAAGGACTTTGGAGGTCTTGTAGTCCAACCCCCTCCTCCAGTAGGAGACCCTATACAATTTCAAACAAATGACTGTCCAGTCTCTTCTGAAAAACCTCCAGTGATGAAGCACCCACAACTTCTGAAGGCAAACTGTTCCACTGGTGAATTGTTATTCCACATTGTATACTAATACGTTATTCCACATTGCATCATATTACAGCTGGAGGAGATGGAGGTGGATTTGACATAATCTATAGGAATTCTCTTTCAGTGATCACACACATATTCTTGTTAGGTTTTTTTTTTCTGCATCTGGCTGCCTGGACAAATGTGGGATTAACAGTCTGCAAAATAACCTTTCTTCCTGTCCTCTTCAGAGTAATTGCTATTGTGGCATTGGACTGCATTTTAAATCCTCAGGGATTTAAATATTCATTCTCAGATTATCACTTTCGGAATGGTGCATCATGTCAAGTTTGCAGTGACTGCCATGGATCTGGCCCAAATTCTATTGAGCCCAAGATGCTGACTTTCGTATTTTGTTTCTGTCTGAGGAACCTGCTCTGCAAAAGACTTATTGCCATGGATAGCTGTGTGGGATGGAAATCAGCTTCTGCAGAAATTGGAGATGACCTTCTTCAGGCCACTGTCAACGCTGCTAATACTGTATATTCTTGCTTTGACAATATGCAGAACTGTCTGGTATTTTTATAGTTAAATCAGGCAACAGTGAAAGGGGAGGAGAATAAGGAAAGCCCCGGAAAAAGAAACCAGAAGTAAATCACATCTTCCAAGTTAATTGGAAGATGTGAACCATGACCCCAAAATAGGGGAGGGAAAAATGCCTGGAATGTATGGGCAACGGAAAAGAATCTCAGATCTAAGCATGATGTCATGTGTCTGATTAACGAAACACTTAAAAGGACTTTCAGGCATATTTTTTTCCTAAAAGCATTTATTAAGGTTACAGAGATGTCAGTACGGCATGGTAGAAATGCTTAGATCTGAGATGCTTTTCCGTTGCCCATACATTCCAGGCATTTTTCCCTCCCCTATTTTGGGGTCATGGTTCACATCTTCCAATTAACTTGGAAGATGTGATTTACTTCCGGTTTCTTTTTCCCGGGCTTTCCTTATTCTCCTCCCCTTTCACTGTTGCCTGATTTAACTATAAAAATACCAGACAGTTCTGCATATTGTCAAAGCAAGAATATACAGTATTTGCAGCGTTGACAGCCATATTCTGTAAGGATGATGGACCACCAAAATAGTCCGGTCCAGGTACCAGATAGGTCTGGATGGAGCACCAAGGAAATCTTATGCCTTGTCTATTGTACAATCCTGGATGATTTGTGAAATATGGACATGGCCTGGGTGGTTACATCATCACTTAAGAACCAGCTTTGCATAACTCTTATTACCATAGACAGATGAGAGTTCTGCAGGGATGGCAATCAACTTTTGCAGACACTGGAGATGACTTTCAGATTATATTCTACATGGACAAAGAGCCATGAAAATAGTTTGGTTAAGATACTAGATAAGTCTGACTGGAGTCAACCATGGGAATCTTATGCCTCATCTATTGTGGAGTCCTGGCTGATTTGTGAAATATGGAGATGGCCTGGGTAGTTACGTCATCACTCATGAGTCCTTCTTTTTACTAGCAGAGTTTAATCACAGTTTGATTTATCATTACATGTCATTCTCAAATATCACAGGTGACCATCAATGGTCTCACAGCCACAAATCCATTTGAATGAAACTGGCCATTTCAACTGGGACTTCATCCATCTATCTATGCTATTGAATCTGGTTTGGTTTGCTTGGCAAATAAGTTATGCCAGAAACTGGATGTGGGGAGAGATAATTTTCCTGCCTTCCTCAGTTACTTTCAATTCATTGACCATGTATCCTTCAGGACCATCAATTGGAGTTGGGCTCTGCGGGCATATTGGTTCCAGTCCTTCATGTTGGACTATACCCACAAGGTGATTTTTGGATATTCCTATTTAATGTGGTCATTGATGTGGATGAGCAGAGTCTGGGAATAGAGTGACATCAGTATGTGATAACTGCCATGTCTAGTGATCCCTACTAGCCAACTTCAAGGAAATAATCAGTTTCTTTGAATGTGTCTTCAACCTGATAAATGATTGGCTGAAGAAAAACACGCTAAAGTTAAATTCAGACAGTAGCTTTTAGACACAGTGCTTTGAATCTATTGGTGTGGTTAGACTTTGGTTAAACTGCTTTTTCAAAAAGAAATAATGCCAGATTGAGGAGACCATCTATCTTCTGCTGAGGAATGCCTGACAAGATCCTGGTACCAAATTGCTTAGTAAGGTTTTTAGGAAGAGGAATATTATTAATAAGATAAACATCTTAGTCTATCTTGTAACTTTTAACTGTAACCTTTAGCTGAACCGAGCTACTGTAATGCCTGAAGAAGTATGCAAGATGTTGATTTTACTGATTGGCGTATAAGAAGGGTTCATGGAAATGTATGCTTTTCAAAATTGTATAAAAGGGGGTCCATTCCGACCAGAGGTGTTCCCATTTGGAACTTGCTTCTGGATAAAACTTTTATTGACAAATAAAAATCTTTTCCTGTCCACTTTTCTGGGGTGGTTCATAAGGCCTGCACACCAGGTAAAAGGGCCTGAGCTATCTGGGACAACAATAGCTTTTCATATCTATCATAACTGAATATGTCTCTTTGCTATCTGCACCATCAATGGAGAAGGATTCATTGGTACACAAAAAATGGAAGCACTGTGGTAGGGGGAATGCTACAGTATTAAAAAGGCAGGGCTTAATGCATCTGGAACTATAGTCCAATTTTATTGGTAAGAAGCTACAACCAAATGGTTGGATTTAGCTAACAATTCTGTCCTAGAGAAAATTGTGCAATTTGTATATGTCTTACAAAGATCTACTGATTACAATCTAAATTTAACTAGTATTTATTTGTACTTCAACATTTGCAGCCTAAGGGGAAGTTCACACTCTCATAGTTTTGAAACTAGAAGGAATTCAGATTCCTTGGTTTTCTATTCAGATCATGATTTGAGACCAACTGAATGATGGGGGTGATGGGAATGTATACGTGATAAACTGCTTTGGGCTCATGGATGTACCTATTCCGAATGGCAGAAATTCTTCTCGTTCAATGAATTTCCCATCCTTATCCAAAAAGTGATTTGGGTTGAATTCTTTAGGTGTTTCCCATTGTTCAGGATCAAGAAGAACAGAATGCAAGTTTGGGGCAATAATAGTCCCCTGTTAAAAAAAAGAGATGATTAAACAGAGCATTTTTTATAAGAGAAATGGGCAAAAAAACCCAATATTGATGAAACACTTGGTTTAGCTTGCCACTGTGGACCCATATTTGTTCATTCCCAAAGCACATTCTGAGAACAGTAGCTGCTCAATTATTTAGCTTCCTTTCTCCCCTCCCTCCCATTAAAACAGAGAACTGGGTGTATATTTCTTTATTATACCAGATTGCCCCCAAAATGGACAAAGGAACAGTATACATGACTATAATTTTGAACTTAAATCCAGCCTACAATCTCTCTTATTATCTTCCTAGAATAAATAAATGTTTATGATTCTAGCTTTAAAATCTGAGGTGTTTGGTTTTAAGCCCCATAATTTATCCTCAAAAAAGTTTGTTATTCTTGCTTATTCAATTTTGCATGACTACATTGGGAGTTCCTGAACAGAGAGCTTTTGTCCAAGTGCCATATTTTGCTTTTCATTCCATGTTGAGCTACTGGAATGCAGCCTGACCATATTTCTCACCTTTGGAATGCAATAACCCTTCATATTCACTTCCTTTGTACTTTGCGTGGGAGCCCCAGCTAGGAAGATATACTTTACACGCTGCATTTCATGAATCGCAGCATTGGTGTAGGGCAGCTTCTTCCGATCCTGATAGGAAATTGACCTTGAAAAGCCAAACACATCTTCAATCTCCTTCTGGACTTTCCCTAGGGGAAAAAAAAATAGAAGCTACATTTTCAATATTGGGTTTCCTTTGTTTGTTTCTGAATGTCATTCTTTAGTGGTGGAAACCAAGAATACACTAAGACAGAAGTATGTCCACCCCAAAGATAAAACACCCAGACCCAACTGAGCAATGTGATATATGCATTTACAATGCAATGAGACATGTGCAGATCTGTACAAAGGTGAAACTAAACAACTACTCCACAAGGGCATGGCACAAACTCAAGCTCAAACCAACCAGGACAAGTTTCAGCAGTCCATGTGCATTTGAAAGACAAAGATCACTCTTTTGAAGACAGCAAAGTCTACATTTTGGATAGAGAAGTTATTAAGTTTGAAAGAGGGCTAAAAGAGGCCATTTATGATAACATTGAGCAGCCCTCTCTCAACCAATGGAGGGGGACGGTTAAGACATCACCCATCTCCAGTCCACAACATAGATCATGCAGAAGTTCCAAGAAGATTCCACAACCAATTGCATCCTGATTCAGGTAACCCTGAGGGCAAAGATTAAACCCCCAAGGGACCTCAGGAGCTCTCAGGGAGAGTGCTAATGACCAGAAGACTGCAAAGAAATACAATACTTCCATTCCTCTCCCCATCCTCCAGTCAAAACCTGACCTTCCATCCCCCCACTATCCAGTCTCAACTGTCAATACCTATCCTTCCATCTCCTTCCCTTTCCCCCATCAAGGGAAAAAAAACAATCCAGCTGTCTTTTGAAAAAGCATCTTTGAATTATCTGTTAGGTGTGTGGCCAATTCCTCCTCATGTTCCTCTAAATCAGGGGTAGTCAACCTTGGCTCTTTTATGACTCGTGGACTTCAACTCCCAGAATTCCTGAGCCAGCTAAGTCCACGAGTCATAAAAGAGCCAAGGTTGACTACTGCTCTAAATAGTCATCTGAGCTTTCCTTCCCTAAGGAGGGTCCTGGTAACCTTAAACAGAGTCACTGGTCAGCACTCATGTATAAGGTAGGATTTAATGGCAACTCTGACCCATGTTGGGTCTTGGCCATTTTTGACACCATCAACTCCTCTATAAATTACAGGAGTGTCAGGAATGGTAGAGCAGGAAGACAGTGCATGGGCACAATCCTGTACATGGTTCTGGTTGCTTTCTGATTCCAGGCTGTAACCAGAACATTCAGAAGACCGTGCAGCAGAGTCCCTGAGACATCCACCAATTCCCTCTACAACCTGAGTGAGTCCATCAATCACCGAGGGTAGATCATTTGAGTAGATTTGGCTTCCCTGCAAAGGGGTGGTGGTGTACTGCATTGGAAAATCTCAGACACCACGGTATAGTCTGACCACGACCGCGGGGGAGGGGGATAATGATAAAATTTCCCCCTGTTCAGACAAGAAAATCATATCTGGTGCATGTCCACTGTCCTGGATTGGCCAGGTTGCTAACCCTAACCCTGCAGATACAGAGCTATCTAAGTGGGTAAATGGAAGGAAGAATGCTCCTATGGCATTTTAGTCATAGCTCTCAGTGCCCTTGGGACTCTTCACTTTCCACAACCACACACACTGGTGTCTCCCATTGGCCAGGATTCAAAGAAGGCCTTTGTATATACATTCTTTGCTTTCCTTTAATACTGCTAAATGTCATGCTTTTGCTTATAGGATCAACAATCTTCATAGGAAAATTATTATGAATAATAGATTGAGTTCATCATTCAATAGCCCTTAGTATTTCAAAGTTCTCTGTGTTTCAGAACCTGAGAGTGACCATCATTGCCACTATCCATGTCTGTCTCACCTTGGATGTCAGGATGATTGGTCAAGAGGAGCAGTGCCCACATCAGAGTAGCCACGGTTGTCTCTGTTCCAGCGGCAAAAAAATCCAAAATACATTGGGCCAGGTTCTCTTCATTGTAGGTAGAGTTGGGGTCATTTCTGCTCTGATGTTCAAAATGAAAAATGAAAATTACAATTATTTCTATGCAGATTTTTTGTGGATATTTTCCATGAGAATAAAATATATGCTTGGCAGTTATATAGAAAAATCAGTGCAGGAGAGTAAAAAATTAAAGTGATAGATTTAAAATGTATAAGTCCCTATCTTAAAGTAGTCCAGATCAAAGAGAGGTTCAGCCTTGGAAGAACTTGAATGCATTTTATTTTATTTTATTTTATTTTATGTTTGGTTGATTGGTTGGTTACTTCAGTAAATGTTTGACAGCATGACTAAAGTAGTCAACCAGAAAAATGCCGTGGACATAATTTACTTGGACTTCAGTAAGGCCAAAATAGACCATGACCTACTACTTGATACAATAGAAAAAAGTGGGTTAGATAGCATTACTAGCAGATGGATTCATAACTGGCTGACTAACCACACTCAACATGTAGTCCTTAATAGAATTGCATCTATATGGCTATCTTCAATATTTTCATGAGTGATTTAGATGAGGGAATAGAAGGGGAAGTCATCAGATTTTCAGATAGTACCAAGCTGGCAGGAATAACCAACAGTCCGGAAGGTAGGCTCAAGATACAGAAGGATCTTAACAGACTTGACCACTGGGTCCTATGTAACAAAATGAAATTCAGTGGTGAGAAAACTATGGTTCTATATTTAGGCAAGAAAAGCCAAATACACAGGTATAGAATGGATGGAACCTGATTCAATAGTTGTAACTATGAGAGGGATCTTGGAGTCCTAGCTGGCTGACCGGCTGTACTCAGCATGTGGTCCTCAATGGAACCGCATCTACATGGAGGGAAGTGTGTAGTGGGGTGCCCCAGGGCTGAGTTCTGGGCCCAGTGCTCTTCAACATCTTCATCAATGATTTTGACAAGGGGATAGATGGGGAAATCATCAAATTTGCAGACGACACCAAGCTGGCATGAATAGCCAACGCTCCAGAATATAGGCTTAAGATACAGGAGGATCTGGACAGACTTGAACACTGGGCGCTATCTAACAAAATGAAATTCAATGGTGAAAAAAGTAAGGTTCTACATTTAGGCAAGAAAAACCAAATGTACAGGTATAGTATAGGGGATACCTTGCTCAATAGCAGTAACTGTGAGAAGGATGTTGGACTCCTAGTGGACAATCACTTAAATATGAGCCAGCAGTGTGCTGCAGCCACCAAAAAAGTTAAAACAGTCCTAGGTTGCTTTAACAGAGGGATAGAATCAAGAACGTGAAGTGCTAATACCACTTTATGATGCCTTGTTAAACCACACTTGGAATATTCCATCCAGTATTGGTCATCATGATATTAAAAAAAAAATGTTGAGACTCTAGAAAGAGTACAGAGAAGAGCAACAAAGATGATTAGGAGAGTGGAGGCTAAAGAATATGAAGAACCGTTACAAGAATTGGATATGTTTAATTAAACAATAAGATTAGGGTGATAGCAGGGTTCCAATATCTAAAGGGCTGCCACAAAGAAGAGGAAGCCAACCTATTCTACAAAGCACCTGAAGGCAGAAGCAATGGATGGAAGCTAATCAAGGAGAGAACCAACTAGAGATAGGAATAAATTTCCTGACAATTAGAACAATCAATCATCAGAATGGTTTGACTTCAGAAGTTGTGGGTGCTTTGTTGCTGGAGGTTTTTAAGAAGAAAATGGATAACCACTTGTCTGAAATGTTATAGGATTTCCTGCTTGAGCAGGGGGTTGGACTAGAAGGACCTCCAAAGTCCCTTCCAACCTTATTATTCTGTTGTTCTGTTTGCCTGTGGAACAGTGACTAATGTGTATCTACTAGAGCAGGGGTGTCAAACTGCCAGCCCGCGGGCCGGTTTCATCATACCGGAGCTGCGCCCACCCCATTGCCGGCAATGGCGAAAAAGCTCCGATACGTTGTGCGACGTCACATGACGTCGCAAGTTTGACATATCTGTACTAGAGTGAATCACAAAAGTTCACAAACAGGTTTATCTGAATCCATTCTGTTTTAAAGTTATATCCAAAAGCTATGTCCAGGACAACTCTAACAACAAGCTTTTGTAGCTATTATGCCACACTATGACAATTTATGGAATATATAGAATACTAGATTTTTCTGAAGCATCATTCAACTTTCACCAAACCATTGTAACTTCATGAAGAATTGTGGGACAACTGACACAACACAGACCATCTGCCTATTGATGGAAAAGCAGCTTGAGAAACAAACCACCATAAATATGGCTGTCACTGAGTTATTGGACACTGTAACTGGAAACCTACAATTACAAGGCCCATGGATGCTATTATATAGTGATGCTACCTTAATACAGAGTGAAACGTGAAGATCCTTTGAACCATTCATTCAAAGGTGGAAATCTGCTTTAATGGTTTAGGAATGGGGGGGTCAGTATTAATTAGTCTGTATATCATTGGAGAAGAGGGCATTTTTTTTTCTTGTTTCAAAAACCTTTATATTTTTACTTACAGTTAAGGCTGTGAAAGTATCTGTCCTTTTAAAATTATTTCAGGATAAGTATTCATTTCAGTATGAATCAATAAAAAATCCCTACCTCGTTAATTCTTTTCCTTCTTAATGGTACTTTAGAAAAAAGGGGAAAGGAGCTTCTGGTGAAAAGATGGCCAATGCACAACACCCCCTGGGAGAGATCCCTGGAGCTCCCTGAAAGGTTTTTCTCTGGACTGTTGCTTTTTCAACTGACCAAGAGAAGGAACCAGCATTCCTTTAGTTCAGGGGTGTCAAACTGCCGGCCCGCAAGCCGGATGCATCATACCAAAAACCGTGCCCACCCCATTGTCGGCAATGGCAAAAAAAGTCACGATACGTCACGACACGTCACGTGATGTTGCAAGTTTGACACCCCTGCTTTAGTTTATATGACTCTCCTGGGTTCCGGAGAGTCCAAGAATCATCCCACAAGATCCTCCATGCAGCCCCGGTCTGCAAGTAACTTCAGGAGCTGTGCTTCAACAGCTGGGGAGCGGCACTGCAACCACTTTGTTGTTGAAAAAGCAGTTATTTTGGAATTTATTTTTCCTCCCACAGACTCCCATGTCTAACAAGTCTAATATTGCAGAGGCACAATATAACTCTTACTTGGAAGCAACCAGAATTTAGCATGCGCTAAATTCAGAATGGGAGCTGAATGAAAAAGAAAAAAAAATCCAAAGAAGACAGTTCCAGTAGCTCGTCTTGTTTATTTATATTGAGTCCCTTGGACTGCAAGGCGTTCAAACTGGTCAGTCCTAGAAAAGATCAATGCCAACTTCTCTTTAGAAGGCCAGATTCTGAAGTTGAAACTCAAGTACTTTGGCCACCTAATGAGAAGGAAGGACTCACTGGAGAAGAGCCTCATGCTGGGAAAGATGGAGGGCACTAGAAGAAGAGGACGACAGAGAATGAGGTGGCTGGATGGGGTCACTGAAGCAGTAGGCGTGAGCTGAAATGGACTCCAAAAGATGGTAGAGGACAGGAAGGCCTGGAGGAACGTTGTCCATGGGGTCGTGATGGGTCGGACACGACTTCGCAACTAACAACAACAAATAATAATTTGTTGCTCAAGTATTGAACCACAATAAACCCATACCTTCTCCATCTGAAGAAGATAGTGATCAATGAAATCCTGTGGCTCATGCAGAGAGTAAGATTCCTTGTGTTTCTCTATTTCCTGTTTTGCAAAGAAAAGCATAAGGTCCCTAGACACCTGGGCCTCCTTGTGAGGGCCTGGAAGGTACTTCATTATTTGTGGAAACAAACCATACATCTAATAAAAAAAGGAAGAAGAAAAGTTATTTATTTCCCACCACAATTAAAAAGATTCTCAAGCAGCTCACAGTAATAGACAACATTTAATAACCAAAGAAAAACATTACAAACCCATTAAAACATGGCAAACCATACATACATGGTGTTAGACCTCAAGGGCCCTCCAGAAAAGCTATTTACAAATTCTTGACAGGTAATGTCGGAGGCAAATAGATTATTATAAAGCTATTATAAAATTCTCTTATTCTCTCATTGTCCCTGGGAGTCTTTGTAAATATGATTACTTATGGCTAACTGAGCTATGATGTAATTAATTAGGCCAGCTGGATTTATATGCCAGCTAAATAATGCATTAACTACCATTGTTGAATTTTCATCATCTGCTAGCTTGTGATATAGTATGCTGAGTTAGCATCTCAGAATCCAAAATGGATCCCAATTCAGAGAGATTCAGAGGCTCCCAATCCTGGTAGTGTTTTACAAAATACATTTCAACCAAAATCACCTATTAGCAGTGCTTTTTTTCAAAAAAAAAAAAAAAAAAAAGGTGCCGGAACTCACACACATCATACAACCTGCCTTGCCTACCCTACAAGGTTCCATCCAAAAAAGGTGCCGGAACTCCGTTCTGGGCGTTCTATGAGAAAAAAAGCCCTGCCTATTAGATAAACTAGAATCAGAATTATGAACATGTGATGTGCTTAACAACCACTGTGACTCGCAACAATAATTGTAAAAATAGCTGTCAAATCAAGTCCAATCACATGGTGACTCATATGACACATTATGGCAGCAACAATTTACAAACAAAATTGGGACTCAATTATGGTTGCAAGGTATATAATCCTAGAGTATATATAAATAAGTCTGGTATCAAGATCAAGATATATCATTCTTCCTCATTATTCAGACCCCACTAGGGTATTATATATAGTTCTCTACACTGTGCTTTAAGAACAACATTTCTAAATTAGGGTGTATTTGGGTAGAACAGCTGAGACGACAAGAGTCTTGGAAGGAAAAACTTAAAAGGAACAATTGGAAGCAGTAAAAGCAGTGGTGGGATTCAACCAGTTTGCACCAGTTCGGCAGAACCGGTAGCTAATTTTTTGTTGCCCAGGCCCAGAATGGACTTCCGGAAGCGGCATCCACACAGAGAACCGGTTATTCACATATTTGAATCCCACCACTGAGTACAAGAGACTGTCCCAGGGAGCTGTTAACATATGGCATGGTTGGCCAGCTGCTGGTGATACTAAAATGATGGATTCCTTCATAGGTAGAACCCACTTTGGTTTAGTGGTCTATGCACAAGTCTTGAAACTGAGCAACTCTGAGTACTAGTCCCAACTCAAGCACTAAATCAGATGGAAACAAAATTGGTTTGGGACCTTTGTCTTTTTAATAGAAAATATGACTCACAAAATGGAAAAAGTTACCAGTGAAATTCACAAGAATTTCAAGGGCTTGAGTTAGCTTCTGGTAGTTTTCATCTTCAGGAGCAAATTGACATCCAAAACTCAAAGCGCATATGATATTGCAAACTGCATTTAGTACCGGAAGTGATGGGTCAAATGGCTGTCCTGCAAATGAAGGTATTTTATAATGAATATTTAAGGAACAGGGCTTGTAAGGGGATGAAGGAAGAGAATTGGGAACTCTGCCAATTATTTAAAAAAAAAATTAAAAAAATCAAATCAAATGCATCTGTTTTTTAAAAAAATTTGCAGACAGAGATTTGAGTCATTACCGCAAATTGCATACCTTTTGTTTGTCTAAAGATCTCCACCAATGTCTGAGCTGCGTCTTCTATCTGATGCTCAATGCTTTTTTTCCCCAGGCCCAGCTTCCTCAGAGAAGTGATGCCGATGTGTCTCTGCTGTTTCCAGGTGTAGCCATTGGAAAGAATAATTCCTGAGGGCATCAGCAGACAATGATAAGTTATACCTGATAACATTCACATTAAAAAAAACCAGGTGTAGTTGTATTCTCTGAATTTCAGGTGGGAATATGAAACCCTTCTGACATGTTGTCCTTTCGTAAAATTATGGCCATGTTATTTTTTTTCTTTAAAAAATATTTAATCATTTTGGAAGTCACATAGACACTGGGAGACATATGTGGTGTGGTGACTAAACTAAACTACCCCACCTAAACCTAATTCTTGTACATGGAAATAGTGAAAGTGTATGATTATGCATAGTTAGGTAGTTATTCTGAAATTAATGTCTTTGGATGGAAGGGTCATATAGAGAGGAATGGATGACAATGAAAATTTGAAGGAAGAAACAAAATATGAACAAAAAAAAGGAATGGATTGAAGAGGAAAGGGAAGATGTGGAAATTTTTAGTTGAATTATAAGAGCCTCAGGAAAAAAAAGAGGTAGAATTTTAATGAAAAAGAAATAATGTCAAAATCAACTTATGAATGTAATAGACCAAATAGAAATCTATGGATATGCACAATAATTTGGGGTAGAGTGGAGAAAACACTCTCTCTCATATATATCTCAAAGGTGTGAGATTATAGATATAGATATAGATATAGATATGGAGATGGAGATGGAGATAGATTGATAGATATAGATTGATAGATATAGATTGATAGATATAGATTGATATAGATTGATAGATATATAGATATGCATAATATTACCACAAATTATTATACTGATGATTATTAAGATACCATTTCTTACTATTTGCACCTACCCCTTCCATTCTGTAAAGTACTCAACAAACCATCATATGGTCGATCAGAGAATTCCTCTGGGAAGCTGGTCATTGCTTCTTTCACAGTTTTGAATCCAGACAATACTACTACAAGGTGAGGTCCAGCCCACATGGAGTATATATTTCCATATCGTTTTGCATGCTGCCAAGTGAATCAATGTTGAGAAATGTTACAATCAAATAAAATAGATAATATACCACCTACAATCTTTCCTCAGTCCTCAATTCTAAGACCTTTCACCATATTCTCTACTCTTTAGATTTTTCTCTCTTTAAGATTCGTGCTAAGAACTTCTCCATCCACTTTCTTTTATTTTCCTGGGACATTTCCTTCTCTATATTTCTGCCTAAAATCCACCATCTCCAATCTTATTTTGATATGTAGGTTCTGAGGGTTTTGCTTGATAAAACATACAGGAAACCAGAAGTTTAAATTTAAAAATAAATAAAATAAAAAAAGTTGCCTTCAAGAGTTACGTGTTTATTCAGCTGAGTAAAGACGGGCTTCTCTAAACAGAGAGAAAAGCCCCAGATATCGAAAAAGCCTTATTTTTATACCTACTTTGATTACATAAGCAATTCACCCAGCAAAGCTGACACACATAAGATAGAGACTTTGCCCTTTAAGGCTGGCACACTGTAGATGAGAAGGAAGAAAGCAGAAGTAGCTAATATGTTCCCTTTTGGGTGGTTTGGGTGTTTCCCCAAGGCACCACATGTTCCCAGGTGGGTTAGAACAGAGGTCCCCAACCTTGGCAACTTTAAGACCTGTGGACTTCAACTCCCAGAATTCCTCAGCCAGCCAAGCTGGCTGAGGAATTCTGGGAGTTGAAGTCCACAAGTCTTAAAGTCGCCAAGGTTGGAGACCCCTGAGTTAGAATATTGGGTGTTTCCTTTGCTGTCCTTTCATGACCTTGCAATCATGGGTCTGCAAGTGGCCAGAGAGAGCAGGGCCATCTGCACATATTCACTGTCCCCTAAGTCCGGGTCAACAGTTTTCTCCATTCCCCCTTGCCCTGGATGAGAGAGGGCCTTCTTACTGCCCACTCCTCCTGTGACTGACAGGTATGTTAGTCAATGGTTGTCTGAAGCAGCTTGTTCATGAGTCACATCTTTTGAGCACTACAATTTGGATGGTTTGAAGAGGCTTTCTCAACCTCTCTAACCTTCTTCCTTTATAAGCCATCAACTCTTCAATTCTCCAACTGATTGCTATGTTGACAGGACGGTCTACAGACTTTGATCTGCCTGGCAGGGTTGCTCTTTATCTGATGGGTGGCAACCTGAATTAAGATTGGCCACAGGAGCAATAAAATCTCCATACAAACTATTGGGTAAGGTGTTACAATCTGCTTGGTATGTGGCCACATTCCATGCAATACATGGCTCATGAAAATACTGTGGAGGGAAGCCTTGTTAGTCAAAAGTAATCCCAAATCAAAAAGAATCTGGCAACAGCCTTATCTGGCAAGAGCCTTATGACACTGCAGAAGACAAATGTCATCTTCAACAGAGGGGAAGTGCACCCTGGTGAACCTGCATTGTTCTCAGTGCTACAATTTGCTCAGTAGGCAGGGCCATTTTCTCTGGCTTCAGTAAAAGATAGAAAATATGGAGACAGGGCTGCAAGTATAACAGGTTTTAAGACTGGACTGGACTGGACTGGACTAGAACTGAAGCTGGAAGAGAACTTGGAGGTCTCCTAGTCCAACCCCCTTCTCATACAGTTTGAGACAAGTGGCTGTCCAGTCTCTTCTTAAAAACCTTCACTGATGGAGCACCCACAACTTCTGAAGGCAAAGCTGTTCCACCGGTTAATTGTCCTCACTGTTAAGAGGTTTGTCCTTAATTCCAGGTTGCTTCTCTCTTTGGTCAGTTTCCAACCATTGTTTCTTGTCCTGCCCTCTGGTGCTTTGGAAAATAAGTTATCCCCCTCCTCTTTGTGGTAGCCCCTCAAATACTGGAATATTGCTATCATGTCTCCCCTAGCCCTTCTTTTCTCTAGACTAGCCATACCCAAATTCTGCAACTGTTCTTCATATGTTTTAGTCTCCAGGCCTTCTAATCATCTTAGTTGCTCTTCTCTGCACTTTTCCCAAAGTCTCAAATTGATTTATTCCTGTTTTTAACATTGTTTTTATCTATGACTCATGTATATGGCTGTATGGGTTTTATTTGTAAGCCACCCAGAATCACTTAGATGAAATGGGTGATATATGAATTTGATAAATAAATAACATCACATCTTACTCTTTATAACTCAGATCCAGAAACTTTTTTTCATCATTCTAGAATTTCAGAATCAGTAGAGGTCATTTAGGCTAGCAAGTTCAACCTATTGTCCACTGCAGGAATACAAAATAAAGCATCTTCAACAGAGGAATGTCTAACCTCATTTGAGCAGAGTGAAGGGGAAATTACCCTCTCTCTGGTAAATTGGTTCCATTATCCAATTTTACCATTTATTAGCAAGATTAAACTAGAATCTGTCTTCTAATAATTCAACCTCATTATTTCACTTGCTGCTCTGTGAAAACAGTGGTGAGCAGGTCTTAGTTTGAATATTCCGGCATGATGTGGAAAATGATTAATCAGGTCTCATCACCCTTGTTTGATTTAATTAAATTTCTCATCATGCAAGAATATTTTACTAGATTAATTGATTTGCCTGTAATAATGGTAAAAGAAAACAATTGAGAATTATTTTGAATATTACAGGCTGATTATTTAGAATGAAATACCTTAAGGAAATAATCTTCACGAAGCCAAAACCAGTCAGCCCACAAGGTCCCAATGAGAGGTAGAGCCAAAGGACCGGGAGGCAAATGTCTTCGGGACCAGAGTTGTTTTAGGAAGAGGAGAATCAGCAGAGCAAGCAGCAAAACAAACAACAATATCCATATCACAATCATTTTCCTGCTGGTTCTTTATCTTTGAGACTTTCTGGTAAGCCTGGAGGTGGATGTATCCTTTTATCAGATGTGTTTTGCTTTTCTTCCTATTTTACCTATTCCATTGATGAGAAACAAATAACAACAAGTCATTTAATGTTCATCTGTCGGATTGGTGCTGGTACTTTGTCAACAAGATATCACATTTATGTGGGTCAATGATGTTATCTCTCACCATATGATATGCAAATAACAGAGGAGGACTTTAAAAAAAAATCAAGAGCTGTGTACCCTAAAGATGCTTTTTTCCAAAAGGCAACTAGAATTTCAACATGTAAAAAACAAGAAAAAAGTGAAAGAAATGATTGGTCCATTAGTGGGGGAAAGTGGCAAGAAGGTGACAAGCAACAGGGAGAAAGCAGAACTATTTAACTTGTTTTTTGCATCTGTCTTTACACAAAGGGAAAAAACAGTCCAACCTATCAAAAACAGTGCCATAAAGAACAGAATAGAAACACAAGTTAAGATAGGCAAGAAAATGGTAAGTGAGCACCTGTCTAATGTAGACGAGTTCAAATCACCAGGACCAGATGGATTACACCCCAAGGTTCTCAAGAAACTGGCAGATGTGATCTCAGAACCACTGAACTATATTGTCAACGCTGTTAATATAGGATATTATTTCTTTGACAAGATATACAGAACTGTCTGGTATTTTTAGAGTTAATTCAGATGACAGAGTGAGGGAGGAGATTCATAAGGAAAGCCTGGGAAAAGGAACGGAAGTGAATCTTTGCCCTCTGGGCTAATTGGAAGATGTGACTTATGACTGCAAAATAAGGGAGGGGTTTAGAAAGAAAAGTTAGACGCAAGCAAGCGAAATTCAGATTCTGGCATATATCCATGATGTGCCGTCGATTTGTTACACTGTTAATAAAGACTTTAGGATAAACATGCCTGGGAGTTCTTTGAAGTGTTTCATTAGTCGGAACCATGACATCATGCCAGAATCTGCAAATTTTTCAAACCAATTAAGGGGTCCCGAACTCCAATCACTATTCCTAAACTAAGGGGTAGACTGATAAAGATTCGGGGAAGATCTCATTATGGAAGGGGAGAGATGGCTTGAGGCCAGCCCCTCAGCAGCAGCAGCTTCCCCAGGGAATGGAGCGGCCGGAGAAAGAACTCTGGCAGATTCCCCAGCTGGGAGTAAAGACTTCAAAAGCAGAATGGAGAGATAACGAAGTTTTGGGTGAGTCACTGGAAAGATTTCAAAACCCAGAGATGAAAAGCAGGCTGGACCACTTTGGATATTTGAAAACCCTACAACTCACCCGCTGGCAATTTTGGTGGCCGGGGCTGAAATGGGATGTGGAAAACTATGTAAAAAGTTGTACTGTATGTGCCACAATGAAAAGAATCCCAGGGAAAATCCCCAGGTTACTGCAGCTGGTGGCAGACCCCTCTCAATCCTGGGAAGAAATAGCTATGGACTTTATAGTAGACCTACCTGAAAGTAGAGGAAATACTGTCATCTGGTCTGTAATAGACCTGTTTTCAAAGCAGGCTCATTTCATCGCCTGCAAAGGATTCCCATCTGTCCAACGACTGACCAAATTGTTCCTGAAACATATCTACCGGCTGCATGGTGCCCCTAAGCGAATAATTTCGGACAGGAGGGTGCAGTTCACAGCGAAGTTTTGGAGGAGTTTTCTTAAATTAATTGGATCATCTCAAGGGTTATCCTCTGCTTTTCATCCTGCCACCAATGTGGCTGCAGAATCTTCTAACAAAATGGTGGAGCAATATCTTATGTTTCTTACCAACAGATGAACTGGACTGATCTCCTCCCTTTTGCGGAGGTGGCGTACAATAATTCTGTGCACAGCAGCACCGGCTACACGCCTTTCAGAGTGGCCACAGGAAAAGAGTTAAGCTCAATACCTGAGGATATCAGGTGCCCTCCGCTTCCCAGACACTTGACCAGTGGGTGAGGGGGTGGGAAGAAGTTTGGAGAAACACAAAAACTGCTTTAAAAAAGACTTTTGAAACCTATAAAAAGCAGGCTGATAGGAAGAGGGCTCCCCAAAGAACATTCCAAGTTGGGGAAAAGGTTTATTTGTTAACTAAGTATTTACGCCTCAAATTGCCCAGCAAGAAATTGGGACCAAAATTCTTGGGGCCTTTCCCCATAGTAAGGATCATCAACTCGGTCACCATAGAACTAAAACTCCCTAGACTTTTAGGGAGAATTCACCCAGTTTTCCATTGCAACTTGTTGAAACCTTATCAGGGCTCCACTTTAAGACCTCCCCCAAAGAAGGCACCTGGGCCCCTTGTAGTTGAAGGACAGACCCACTATGAAGTGAAACGTATTCTTGACTCTAGAATTTTTAAAGGGAAATTGCAATACCTAGTACAGGATACCCGTTGTCTGAAGCCACCTGGGTGAAATCCTGTGAGGTGAAAGCTGACAGGCTCGTCAAAAGATTTCATGTGAGATACCCCAACTAACCAAAAACTAGTCATTAACATATGCTTTTGTTTACATTACAGGATCTGTCCTTTTTTGTAAGGGGGGCCGGATGTCAACGCTGTTAATATAGGATATTATTGCTTTGACAAGATATACAGAACTGTCTGGTATTTTTAGAGTTAATTCAGATGACAGAGTGAGGGAGGAGATTCATAAGGAAAGCCCGGGAAAAGGAATGGAAGTGAATCTTTGCCCTCCGGGCTAATTGGAAGATGTGACTTATGACTGCAAAATAAGAGGGGTTTAGAAAGAAAAGCTAGACGCAAGCAAGAGAAATTCAGATTCTGGCATACATCCATGATGTGCCGTCGATTTGTTACACTGTTAATAAAGACTTTAGGATAAACATGCCTGGAGGTTCTTTGAAGTGTTTCATTCATATATTTTTCAAAGATCCTGGAGCACTGGGGAACTTCCAGAGGACTGGAAAAGAGCTGATGTAGTTCCCATTTTCAAAAAAGGGGAAAAAATGGATCCAGGAAATTACAAATCTATCAGCCTGACCTCAATACCTGGGAAGATTCTGGAAAAGATAATCAAACAACAAATCAGTGAACACCTAGAGGCAAACAAAGTCATTACTAAAAGCCAACATGGATTTGTCAAAAATAGATCATGCAAGACAAATCTTATTGCATTCTTTGATCAAGTGACAAAATTAGTGGATCAGAGGAACGCTGTGGATATAATTTACTTGGACTTCAGTAAGGCATTTGATAAAGTAGATCACAACCTACTACTTGATAAGATAGAAAAATGTATGTTGCAGCTGCCAAAAAAGCCAACACAGTGCTAGGCTGCATTAACAGAGGGATAGAATCAAGATCACGTGAAGTATTAATACCACTTTACAATGCCTTGGTAAGGCCACACTTGGAATACTTCATCCAGTTTTGGTCACCACGATGTAAAAAAATGTTGAGACTCTAGAAAGAGTACAGAGAAGAGCAACAAAGATGATTAGGGGACTGGAGGCTAAAATATATAAGGAACGGCTGCTGGAATTGGGTATGTCTAGAAGAGAAGGACGAGGGGGGACATGATAGCAGTGTTCCAATATCTCAGGGGCTGCCACAAAGAAGAGAGAGTCAAGCTATTCTCCAAAGCGCCTGAAGGCAGGACAAGAAGCAATGGATGGAAACTAATCACGGAGAGAAGCAACCTAGAACTAAGGAGAAACTTCCTGACAGTTAGAACAATTCACCAGTGGAACAACCTGCCTCCAGAAGCAGTGAATGCTGCAACACTGGAAGTTTTTAAGAAGAGACTGGACAGCCATTTGTCCAAAATGGAATAGGGTTTCCTGCCTGAGCAGGGGGTTGGACTAGATGACCTCCAAGGTCCCTCCTCCTCCTCCTCCTCCTCCTCCTCATTATTATTATTATTATTATTATTATTATTATTATTATTATTATTATTATTATTATTATTATTATTATTATTATTATTATTATTATTATTGATCATCGCACAGTCAGCTAGATGTTTGGACTGGATTTGGCATTTTTGTCTGTCTATCAAGTCCTTACCAAGGACCTGGGATGGGCAGATGTGGATGTTTGATGCTATTGTTCTCCAGACATGTAAATGTGTAGCTTAACCTGCTGCTGGAAATTCTATTTGGTCAGTTTACGGTTCAATATATTGTGTGAATTGAGAAAAATAATTATCAGGTTCACTCACCTAACCTACAAAGATACTTTTTCCTATTTTCCGGCAACTGCGAGGTGGGATAACATGAAAACCCATCTCCCGAGGCCAGGTGAAAGATAATTTCTCAAGTTGCCACCACTGTCTGCCCTTCTGATGGGTGCAGCTGCACAGAGTGGCGCTCTGCACAGCTGGTCAATGTATCTCTATGGCTTCCACCAACACTTTTAATGTTTCCGGTCTCGCCCTCCTTCGGCGGTAGCAAGGCCTGTCGGGCGATGGTGGCTGTAAGGGGCCTCAGTATTTCGGTGAAGGCGACTGAGCCAGATCCCATGGAAGTGGAAGAGGG